TTTAGGAAGCTGGATGTTTTTTTGCTGACTCATTCTCAATATACCCTTACACTTGATATGACCTGAGGCTATTTTAAGCTTTCACCTTCACAAAGAATACAAGGATATAGATAAAGAAATTCCAACTATCCTACAGTTGCCAATGTCCAAAACGACCGCAAGTCCGTTGTTATCTGGGGCTAAACATGGCTTGTTAATTTTAATGCCTAAAATATTCTCTCCATTAATCATTTAAGAGTCACAACTCTGCCTTCTATTAGCTTGGCTAATGCTAACCTCCAGGAATGTTTCTGGTTCTTGGGTTTACTTTCTCAGCTAAGAATACTCAAAGACTTATGGACTCTCGTATTCCTCAACAAGCCGAAAGCCTAATGAAGAGACCTCTGCAGGAGCTAGTATAAATGCCGCTCGATAAGGTGGCTTTTAAGCTAGTATTTTATAAAATACGTTAAAAATGTGTAACTGAATTACAATGTTTTAACATATCTAAAGAATGTTTAAAACATTAGATTTCTGACTAAAAAGATTTGAGTTCAAATTTCACCTAAATTTGTCAGCAGAGTTGACATCTGGTTAATATTGACCTAGGGAAATTATCCCTTTTAGAACTGTCTGAATACTATAAGCCATTATTTTGTTAGTGGAAAATGTGTAGATGAAATGAAAGTGTTCGAAACTGGAGATGGACGTACGAGCATGAATTCGTAAGTCATCGTGACCGAGTATACTAATCACGTCCAACTACTGATCCCACCAGATTATGCGCTTTCTCTCAGACACTGTAACTAAGGTCCTTTCCTCACAGACATGAATGGAAACGATGTAGTTGGAAATGATGATAAGGAGGAGATATGACGATTACCCTTGACTTGCTGTGGTCAGGGAAGCACCCACAGAGGATTCTGTTACCCAATGGGGAGCTTCTTGGGAAGAAGATGTATGAGTGTAAATTTCTTCTTAAATCTGGAACACGGGGGAAATGTAGGTGATTCGACTTCGTGGAAAGAGCACAAATGAATGGAGCTAAAGAATAGAGCTCATCTGAAAATTTGCCATGGAAATTGCAATAGAGTTGTAACAAGGCGTCAAAACTGCGTTTGGAGGAAAGAGATTGTAGTATGGGAACTTAGTTCTTCCTCAGAAGACCGTGCAAAATCTACCCAAACTAGGAATTGAGGCTGGAGTTGCCCCAGTCCAGGGAATGAGAGGGCTTGGTACGGCCGGAAATGGCTCTTCAAGTACTCGATAGGAACTATGTTCTCAAATCTAAGAAATGTTTCACGTATTCTTTTATCTGCATCTCTTTTTTTCAACATTTTTTTAGCCTCCGAAAGTCTGGAACCGGAAATTTCGGTCAACATTGTTAATCAGAGAGCTGAGTTCCAATTCTAGTTTGGTTTATTATATTCAATTATACGCAAAAATCTTCGGAAAAGTACGAATCTTAATGTTCTCTTCGAAGGCATGGATTAATTAGTAAGACTTGGATCACTAAATCATGATTATCTCCCGCAAAATAATATTCTTACAATCTAAAAACATTTTCTGGGTTTTTGAATAATCTGCATAGGGTTGAGAAGCCGTAAAAAACGACAAAAACAAAAAATACAAAAGTATTCTGAAAAGGACTCAGCCTGATTTTTCATTTCACCGACGAAGCCTTTACACTCATATAGAGCTGTTAGCTTAAATTATGAGATGTGGGTCGGGCAAAGTGAGGAAGTAGGTCGGATATATATATATATATATATATATATATATATATATATATATATATATATATATTGAAGCCAAAACGCTATTTTTGAAGTGATTTTATAACATTTTCATGTTATAATATTCGGATAAATTATATATATATATATATATATATATATATGTATATATATATATATATATATATATATATATATATATATATGTGTGTGTGTGTGTGTGTTGTGCATTTTACATATAAGGTAGAATTTGAACACATACCTATATGCGTGCATATATGTAGGATGTGTGTTTATTTCTTTGAGAGAATTATCTATAGAAATTTCGGTATGAATGCGTACGTGAAATTATAATTAACTATATTTACTTAGTTATTACTGTATTGAATGAAGTATGCGTTTATATATGTCAATATGTCCGTTCTATTATTTCAAGAAAAAGCCGTTTTTTTTTTTCAATATATTCCCTTTAGATAAGAAATTACAGTGAAAACAAAATTACTTTTGTCGGCTAAAAATTATTTTCGTCGTAACCCCCACCGCTCGTTTCAGCTCCATTTTCGTATAAAACACATTTCAATAAAATATTAAACGCCTGCCAGGGTGACATGGCATCCTACGCAATATAAGATCGAATTTTTGAATATTACCCACAAGGGACAGTGGTTAATTTTGTTAATCTCTTTTCACTCTTGTCCTACCCAGTCTAAATCAACCTCTCAGGCGTCTTTCTATTACTCTCTTTTTCTTTTAAATATTTTCTCTTTATCGTCTTTTTTTTTCATTTGGTAAGCCGTTTTATTCATACACATGCCTCGTTCTCATTCTTGTTTTCGGCTTTGTTCTTTGTCTCACATTTGACTTTCTTCCTGCTCAAGGGATATCGTTTTTTTCTTTTTTTGTCTCCCATTTTCCTTTCCTTGTGATATTCGTTTCTTTTTCCATTTTCTTTTTCCTTTCCTTGGTCTTATTTTCTTCGTCGTTCTTTGCTTTTGACCACCTCTATATCGTCTTCTTCTCCTTTCTCGTTATATTTTCTTCTCTTTTCCTTTCTTCTATCTATCTATCTATCTATCTATCTATCTATCTATCTATCTATCTATCTATCTATCTAATTCTCATATCTATCTATCTATCTATCTAATTCTCATATCTATCTATATAATTCTCATATCTATCTATCTATCTATCTATCTATCTATCTATCTAATTCTCATATCTATCTATCTATCTATCTATCTATCTATCTATCTATCTATCTATCTATCTAATTCTCATATCTATCTATCTATCTATCTATCTATCTATCTATCCATCTATCCATCTAATTCTCTATCCATCCATCCATCTATCCATCCATCTATCCATCTAATTCTCATATCTATCTATATAATTCTCTATCTATCTATCTATCTATCTATCTATCTATCCATCTATCTATCTATCTAATTCTCATATCTATCTATCATCTATCCATCTATCTCATATCTATCTATATAATTCTCATATCTATCTATCTATCTATCTATCTATCATCTCCATCTATCATCTATCTAATTCTCATATCTATCTATATCTATCTATCTATCTATCTATCTATCTATCTATCTATCTAATTCTCTTACATCTATCTATCTATCTATCTATCTATCTATCTAATTCTCATATCTATCTATATAATTCTCATATCTATCTATCTATCTATCTATCTATCTATCTATCTATCTAATTCTCATATCTATCTATATAATTCTCATATCATTATCTATCTATCTATCTATCTATCTATCTATCTATCTATCTATCTATCTATCTATCTATCTATCTAATTTCAATATCATATCTATCTATCTATCTATCTATCTATCTATCTATCTATCTATCTGGTGCGATGGATAAATTGTCGTCATTTCATATGTCGTCATTTCACGCAGGCGGGTTGGTTTGTTTTTGATTTTGTCGACTTGCACAGTATAGTAGTCTATGTTGGGTACTGTCTGTGACGCAATTCTCTCTACCAGGAACTTGAAACCGGCATGCTATACCGCTTGGCATTCTCGCCGGAAGCTTTAATACGAACATTTCAGAGAGTGTTGGTGCTAATCTAGGGGCAGTGCAGGGTTGTATGCGTCTAATGGTGATTGCTATGGTACGGCAGCTGGGAGAACTCACTCTGATCTTGTTCTGATAAGAAAAGAACTTCCTAATTTGTTTCTGAGGGCCTCAGACTCAACACGGAGGCCTAGATCAAGTGCCCTAGGGATGTAGTGCTGTCCTGGTAAAGAGACTTACTGCTGGAAGACCCCATGTTTGGCAAGGGGACTCTACACCCTACCACGCAAGCAGAATAACCCAGTCATGGCTGTCAGACAATTTCTACGGCCACATCATCCCTTACATCTGGCCACCTAACTCCCCAGACTGCAACCCCCCTGATTCTTATGTGTGGGGCGCAGTTGAGCAAGAGACCAACAAAACTCCTTGTAACACCAAAGATGAACTGAAGGCAAGGATTATGGCAGCATTCACCAACATAAACAAGGAGACTGTCCATAAGAACTGCAGAAGATTCCGAAGTCCTCAGGAGGCCGTGATTAGAGCCAATGGCTTTATTATTTCAGGATATATATGTGTAATTTTGGTAAATATATCTGTTAAAATGAGATGTCTGTTATTTTCATCTTTGCGCAATTTAGGCGACAATTTATCAATCGCACCGTATTATATGTTACATGATGAAATAAAGAAATAGGAAACGTCTATTAATCTAACATGTTTCACTTTTATTAAAGCTTCTGACGAGGTTTTAATAAAAGAGGAAAACACAAAAATACAGAAATTTGTTATTTTCAATTTCGTTAGGGTCGATTCTCATTGGTCAGTCATGTATTGCAATAAAACTGTACTCTTTGTAGTAAATGGCTATAACTTAGATTCCGCAAGCATGAATGACAAAATTGATGCCGATGTAACGTAATCTTTTAGGAGTGTGCTTATAGTTGGTTATAATGTTAATAATAATTAAGCTTTCAACGTATTTTCTCCTTAAAGAATTACGCTTTTTTAAAATTAGAGTGGCATTATTAAAATTAAAGTTACGGTCAGCATCGTTCCTTTGCGTTACGAGAACGTTAGAACATTTGTCTAAACGCAAATCTCTCTTGTGTTAGTAGATGTTTGTTTGAGATCGCCTGATGTCTCCCACCCCCGTAAACATTTTTGCTTTGTAAACAATTTATTTGTTAAATACGAAAGAATCTAACTTATATCTATCTAATAAAAGTAGACATATATAAAAACATTCCCAGATTAATAGAATACCACCAGCATTGACCACATAAAATTAGAACTCCGTTGAGACAGACACACATACACAGTTACGAATACACATTACTATCCGATGTCCATTTAGATACATTAGAATTTTTTTACACATATAGAATTATCTACGATTTTAATGCACGTGATATATGACAGTCCAATGATAATCGAACTGAATGAAATTGGGAAGACCAAAATTCTCTTTTTTTTTGTCTGTTTTCTCTCAATATCTGACAAAGATTTAATAAAAGTGAAATATGTTAGAATGATAAACGTTTCCTATTTGTTCTTTATCTCGTTATCCGGTCGGATTCTGACTCATATTCTATCTGAATTTGATCTCATATATATATATATATATATATATATATATATATATATATATATATACAAACAGTAGACACCGGCGTGGTCCGGGGATGTAACAACAAGAGATAGATCAAGTATCGACCATCATAAAGACTGAAATTGACAAAGATTATTGTTTAAAGTTGACGGACACGCATGTCTTAATTAGATTTTTTTTTTTTTACGAATTGGTCAAACCCAAACTCAAACAAAAACATTGTTTTCAATCGTTATGAGTCTCCCGATTGAATAGAATTTTATTATAAACAATTGTCTTGTAAATAGAATTTTTAAAGCATTCCCAATGTAAAAATAAAGAAAAAAGTGTGCAAGACAATAAGAAACACTACCTGCCAAAAAAAAAAGCGAAGTTTTGTTGAAATCGGTTGAAAAATGTAGGAAATTCGATCCCATATATAAACGAACACACACACACACACACACACACACACACACACACACACACAAACAAACAACCTGGGTTGTATAATAAGTATAACTCGATATGAGTTGTCCCCCTTTCATTCTCGAGATGCCTCTTAATCGTGTTTTCAAATTGATTTCGTGCAAAAACAATTGGGTTTTTACAATTTTTGGCACTGTCAGAACTACCGCAAGGTAATTTTATGTAGTCCTGTGAAGTTTTGTTGAAATCGGTTGAAAAATGTAGGAAATCCGATACAATATATAAACGTACAGACACACACAACCTGGGTTTTATAATAAGTATGATGATTATTTCCAGTTCGATTGTTCATTGTTTTGTCTCTCGAACAATTCTTGTCTTTTTCAATATCAAAATCTTCTGTTTTTTCTCTCATTGCGATACACTTTTATTCGTGTGATATTTTAAACCCTTTCTCCCACTTCTATATCGCTTACTTTCTTTCTCCTTTATTGTTTCTTCCGCAGAACATAATTATCTTTTTTTTGTCTTTCTTATTTTTTTCAATTTTCATTCTCTCTCAGTTTGGTTTTTCTTTCTTTTTTCCCTCTCGCTTTTCTTCAGGATCTTTCACGCCGTGTTCCTTTGAACAAAAGAATCGACGCAGTTATTAATTTCATTTTTATTAATTTAAGCAAATAATATTGACTTACCCATCCAGATGTAACGTTGCTACGTAGTGCTTCTAGAGCGATATGATTATTCCAGTAGTTAAGTAGATAAACATTTATCTATCGAGTAAGTAGAAAAGAAGTGATGATAAAAGCCTTAAAGCATGGCGTCAATCATTCAAATATCTCCCGGGATAACTTCACAAAATGATTATCTATCTATCTATCTATCTATCTATCTATCTATCTATCTATCATAACGCACCCATAACTGTTTTTGTATGTTTGTACATATGAAATGCAAAAGCTTTTGATCATGATGAAATAATTTATTCAATGTTTTGGTAGTCACTTCATCAGTCATGAAAAATTAATATATTATTAATACACACACACACACACACACACACACACACACACACACACACACACACACACACATATATATATATATATATATATATATATATATATATATATTCTTTACAATTGGAATTCAGATACCTTTAGTTAATGACCATTTTCCCCTACGAATTTTATTTTTAAAATTAGCATGATTTTTGAAGTTTTTTTTATTCATTCTTAGAGTATCCCACTAAAAAGTGATACCATAAACAGTTTGAAAAATCCTGAGAATTTTAAAATTAAAATTCGTAGGTGTAAATGGTCATTAACTAAAGGTATCTTAATTCTAACTGTAAAGAAAATTTGCTCTTTTCAATGAAAACACACATTGAGCGCTCCTTTGCGAGTCAGTTTTAAAATATTTCAAATTCTATGTCATGTTAATAGGGCTCGCCTAGACTATACCAACGTATTAATAACTGTGTGTGTGTATATATATATATATATATATATATATATATATATATATATATATATAGTAAAGGTAATAGATCCGTTGGTATATAATCCAGGTGGATCCTCGTGATATCAAATGTTAAAACTGATCTACAAAGAGAGCTCAATGTATTTATTATAATAGAGCATATACATTATACAGCAAAAAATCCAAAATTACCTCTTGTGGGAATAGCCTATTTCAAACTGGTGCAACCTTGCGTCAGTCCTCTTCAGCCTTGAATTGGATTTGTCTCTGAATCGGGGATTTGGAATTTAATTTAGATAGCAGTCAAGTAAGGATACAAATCTACCCAAAATGAGCCTCATCTAGATGAAGAGCCTGAGATTATGTTAAGGGGAGGGCGCGAGATATCTTTCTAAGAGGCCACTGGAATTGACCCTAATATTTACTTTATGGTCCGAGGTTGGGCTTATATGAAGAGTGGGGTGTTGAATTGAAACTAAAAGAGGAACCGAAATGGGAGCTTATTTATGACCAAAGCCTTTAATTATATGTAAAGGAAATTAGGTTCCTATAAGAAATACTATATTATACCAATAACAAATATCTTTTAA